AGTGTGTATGTCTGTACGTGACAGCGAGGGTGGGTCTCTCAGTTAGTGCACACATGCTCGCTGCACTTCAGCATGTCTGGGAATGCCTCGCCACAGATTGACACACATGCATTTCTATTTTCACGACAAAATTTTAGAAAAAAGATCCCAGAAAATCCTAATCCTTAAAACTGTAATTTTCAGTTCATTTTTAAGATTGATATATTGCTTCTTAATTTACGACGTAAACTAGTCAGCATTTGTCAAAACCATAAACATTTTCATGCAAAAAAAAAAGAAGCAAAAATCTTTGGTATAAATAACTAAAAGGGGTACGTTTATCCTGAAAATCTCCGTTCCTATGCCAACCCCCCTCTTCATAATTTAGATGATGCCACCTGCTCTGTTCTTTGCACTATACATCATCTCTGGAACACTCCATTCACAACCAAAAGAGGGGTGGGGGAGGGCACTGCCAACCAACGTGCATTTTCTGTGCCAACACACTTCATCAGCACTGCCCCTGGTGTTCTCACTCGTACTACTAAACAGCCTACTACGAGCCAAAATCATTCGTTTGAATGAAGAAACACAACTGTTTACTTTTATGCCCTGTAAATTCTACATGACATGAATTGAGCAAACACAATGCTATTTTATGTGAAATGATAATTAAATATCACACTGCAGTCAGCTGTTAAATTCTGAATTCTCAGTGATTCAATAAATATGATTTTACCTATAGATCATTTACTTTTAAGAGGGCAATAAGAGGGTGTGTGTGTGTGTGTGTTTGAGAGAGAGAAAGAGAGAGAGTGTGTGTGTGACAGAAAAAAGAACACTGGGGTGGCAATTTATTTTCTAAAAAAGAAAATTTCAAAAGACATCTTTATGTAATATGTATTTCTTTAATAAAAGCCTCAAAATAATACATAAATGGTTCAGATTGAGCAAATGCTTCTTTTAAAAGTACAACTAATATGTATATTCCTAGGTTAAAATTTGTATAAATTGCAGAAATTGTTCTCTACTGAATTAAAATTAAATACGGTCATGTTCGATATATTTAAATATGTGTAAATTTAAACAATGACATATATGAGTCAAAATGACATGAATTTGAGTTGAATTGGCATGCCTTTACATTTATGTCAAACCTATCAATATTAAGCATCCAAAAAACAAAAAACTACAAAAAAAAATTAAAGAACAACTCTAATTGAGACATTTACATTATTAACGGAAAGTACCATCACATATATTATAATTTTAATGCAAAACTGTGCAAACTAAGCTCTGCCGTGGCATATACAATGCTTCTATCCATAAGCGTCTGTGTTACAATTCAATAATAATATAAAAACTACAAAAAATATTAATTGCAATGAACAGTTCATAAGATGAATGACAACACAACATGATAATCAAACACAAGGCCCAAATAGCTGATGTCCATTCACTACGTTGAAGTGCTCCAGGAAACACACACCAAAGGCATCAGAAAATGAAAGGTTGATTCGTAAAAACCTTTTTCTGATAACACGATTTAAAACTCTTACTTCCAAAAAGAATATGCACTATGGAAGGTCGACTTCCTCACTACGTACAGAGGCACATCTTATTTGTTAGGCGCTGATATGAACTGCCTTTACATACCACCTACGCCATTTTCTTTAGGAATCGTACAGTTTTTTAAAACGCTTTTTTTGGTATAAACCATAAAACCATAACAAAAATATTTCACACACATTCTAAAGACAAAAAAAATCAAGAAATATATCAGCGAAACGAATAACAAACTAAATATGTACAAATACCACAAAACGCAAATATTCGCAACTTACCCGATAACATTTGACATGTGTCTGTAGACAGAAACATTCCAGGACAAGTGCTGAAGGCCTTTTCTACTCACTTAACCAGCCCTGTGTTGAAGGAGAGTGAGAGAGAGAAAGAGAGAGAGAGAGAAGGAGAAGACGAGGCAGTGAGCTTTCAACAGCAGGCACAAGGACTGAAGGAGGTAGGCCGGGGGGCCAAGCCAATCCTCCCACCCCAGCTGCGTGTCCCCAGCACCGGGCTACACGTCTGCCTGTGGTCCCCTAGTCCGGGACGACTGGGCCCTGGCCACAATAGCAGCCCGAGAGACACATGTGTCGACCCGTCTTGCAGTTAACAAGTCTTTGAATGAGGAATGTTACAAACAGAATGTCCAATGCATGTTAATGTCCCAGTCAGTCCGATCGCAGCGTTGGCCTGGCGTATGAATAATTCAGGAGCTTGAAAACCGAGCCCCCTCCCTTTTTCACCCCCCCATGACTGAAATGCCTTCACTGGCTGAAGAGCGCCAGAGGAGCGAGAGAGTGTTGTGAGAGAGATAGAGACAGAAGAAAAGTATTTCAAATTTTAGCTTCAAACATTTCTATTCAGCCGAACGCGCACACGGTCGCCATAAACTTATTTCGTTTCATCGTGAAACATATTTCTTTCTTACGATCGAGGCATCTTTCACTCATTGCCTTTTTATGTCTTTTGTTTGGAATTGGCACCTGTCCCAGAAAAAGCTCCGACACCGCACCACCCTCCCGCTCTCCTTTCAGAGAGAGAGAGAGGGAAAGAAGAACTGTATGTGTGCGTATGAGAGAGGGAAGGCAAAAGAGAGAGAGAGGGTGGTGCTAAAGTGATAGAACTCCAGGTGCCTCCCTTCTCCGAGACACGCAACAAGCAGGGAGAATACAGCCATTTTCAAAGCTCAGCAACGGAAAGGATCCGTTAACCCCTGGCGAGGATGAGAAATGCCACACCACACCCGTTACGAACCATTCAAACACAATTTACCAAACGCGCAGGCGCTCTGCCGCCAAGACCAAACTCGATCCTTGAAGCTGTCCTCTGGCTCGAAAGCACTGAATAGCAATCAATCAGAAACGAGAAACAGTTAAAGAGTTTGCAGTTAAAAGACGACTATACCATGATGGAGGGTTCTGGGAAAAGTGGAGTGTGCAAATGTTGGGGTGTCTTTGTACATCCCACTGTCCCGAGTAGGAGTCGAGAAGTGTCAGACGTATGGGTGAGACGGTGTTAAGGTGAAACATCTGTCGCAATTTGCAGGGAGATTTCCTCTGCACTGACTGCACACACACACACACACACACACACACACACACACACACACACACACACACACACACACA